TGTATACACAATCTTAACCATTTTGCAAAACACCCACCTATAGGTGACACTGTAAGTACAAACTTACACAGTCTACATGTATTTCATCATTTTCTATTCTCACATTTATTTGACATTTCTTTTAGCTATAAACTAAAAAGAAAGAAGACATATATAAAATGCTACTTGTATAGATGGTCAGCTATCTTTAGAAATTTACCATCATGACTTTACCGGATTCTATGTTCTTTTTTTTTGTTGTCTTTTTTCTTTAATGGAGCATTTGAATAAGTTACAGTAGAAAGGAGAAATGATTCCTTTAAACAAGGAAGTTGAGGAGTGAGATCAGCTTTAAGTGAAACCAACATAAAAATGTAAAAAAAGGTCCCTTCCTTTCTTGTAAGTGGAATTTAAACAGAAACTGTTGAAAAATGATTAATTCTGTGAAAATGCCTTTTTATTACCAGGATTCATTTCTTGAGGATTTATAGAACKCTACAGACTACATGTTTTTGTTAAATCAATTATTTTGACAAATTATAAAAATTGTACTGTGGTGGCAGATGTGTTAAAAATGTTTAYATTAATTACTCAGGTAGAAATATTGGGTTAACAAAGACCTTTGTAGCAGAAATATCAACTCAATATTTTGACTCAAGTAAAAATGTAAAAATACTAATTTTAAATCTGCTTAAAGTAAACGTATTGTGAATTAAAAAAGACTAAAGATAAAATCTGATGGACCTATACATAACCCCACCTCCCCAAATAAATGATTCTAAAGGTCGTAATGACTATAATACATTAAAATGTCAATGTTGAATGATTTGGGTTGCAGTATGGCAACCTGTTTTAGCTCCACATGATCATCTTCATACAACATATACTGTATGTCTACCAGGGTGCTGAATCGGTACATACAGTATTTGTGCTGCTCATCTAATCACAATAAATTCACTCTATCCAGGAGGGTGACATTTACTTTTATTTATTTTTGAATGATGACAAGCCAGTGAAATAAGAGTAACATGGCTATTTTAAATCTGTAAGGAGTAGAAAGTACAGATACTGTAATTGTGAGAAAATGATGTCAGCTGAAGATTACTCCAGTACATAACCAAAACGTCTACTTAAGTAAAGTAAAAAAGTATTGGTACTTTGCTATGACACCTCTGTCAAGTAGGTAGACATGTCCTGTCACTTTAAATATTGATCAAAACTATGGTGGTGGAGTTTTTACTCTTACTCCATCAAATGGGAGTTGGGGTATTTGTTGTGGAGTGACATTTTTTTTAAATTACTTTAAGGTGCAGAATGCCAAAACTAATGTGCATTTGGGCTTTACTAAARGGTTAGAGAGGTGAATAGTGGGGCATTTAATCTCTGCTATTATAAAAATAGAAAAAAAAAACTTACATCTCCATTCACATAAAAACAACATGAAAATACTGTCGCTTGAGGCGCTGCATTTACGCATTACCCAGGCAGAAGAAAAAGTAGTTCCCACCAACCATGTATGATTTAGACAAGTATTCAATAGTTTAGTTACTTTCCACTGTGTTCTTCTTATGATATACAGTTCCTGAAATGACTGAACTATGAAAATGTTGATATTTTGATTTTAGAATTGATTTGAGCATAAAGTTCTGGTATCSATGGTTTCAGTGTTTCGGTGTCAATCCACACATCCCTAGTTCATAGCTGTACTCTAAAGTCATAATGTTGTACGTTAAAGATATTTTGCTATCATAACATAAAACACCAATAAAACCAATTTAAAAATACATAAGCATGAAAATTTTAAAAAGCAGGCAAAGAACAAACTTAACACCAACCTTGAACACTGGAAGTGGGTGTGATTGTATTTGGACAAGTTTTCTGTTTCTTGTGAGAATATAGACATGCTAAATAATTACCCAATATTAATATGGATTATACTACAGGGAAAAAATATTTTCCTATCCTCCTTGTCAATTTTCARTTTAGACGTAAGAGCAGAATACGAGAAACAGGCAAAAGGGTCAAATACCTTTTATTTTTTTTAAATTTATGAATATTTAGTGACTACCCTTGTACACTCTAATTTCTATGAGTCTTTTGTCTGTCACTTTCTTAATTTATTCAWACTCCACCTTGGTTGTGACCACAGCCCCTCAAATGCTCCCCACCCTTCATTGTGAAACTCACATTTTAGAAGGAACAAGGGTTAAAGGAAACATTTCACCTCAACCCTACACTGTAAAAAATGAAATGTTGGATTTACTTAACCATGTTATGTTACCTGGTTCCACTTAACTGAGTTGAGTAAATTCAAAGCAATATACCAGTTTTTTAGCCAAAGAACATGAGTATGTTGCTTTGAATTTACTCAACTCAGTTAAGCGGAACCAGGTCACATAACATGGTTAAGTAAATCCAACATTTCATTTTTAGAGTGCAGTTTTTCAAACATCTATTCAGTCTTTCTTATTATGTCTTTGTCACTTTAGGTCACACTATGCTTCATTGTTAAACAATAACACAACACAAAAAAACCATTTTGTAATCAGTGGGTTATTTGGAAATTTGCATCAGGATATTAATAGAATCTGAATAATTTTTTCCTTGTTTGTATTTGTCTTCAGTCAGATTAGTGACATTAGATCATCTTGTTGAAGGACCAACTGACATTTACAGCTGTTTCCAATGGCTTATGATCATGTTTCTTATGGTGCTGGTTTGGATGGTTAAATGTTACATCTGTGGTTGAAGTCTTTGTACATTTATTGCTGAATAATTTCAGAATAGTATGTCTACTCTTGACCATCTTCACTGACTTCATGCCTGCTCCTACATTACATCTCATTACATTTTTTTTGTTCCTCAAATGCACACAAGTCATGCGACCTCAAACCATGTGGGCTACAGCGGAAAAGAACAACTGCTGCCATATTGCATATATAAACCTATGTGTAGGTAAAAGCCATGACTAAACGGGGTGCATTTCATATGCACCGTGGTTGCAGAACTGAGTACAGCAGCATCAGTAGCTCGGAGAAACACTCACCTCAAAAACCTAACAGGAAGCTCATGTCTTAGAAAGTGAAAAAGACAGTATAGTGGTGATGTGTTGCATGAGTTTAACAAGGCTCCATTAAAGTTTGTTYTTTTTTCATGTGACTGGAAAACACAGAAAACAAGCTTAAGTGCTGCCAAATACAATCATACAATGAAAAAATAAACTAATAAATGCATTTACTGACTAAATTAATATTTCAATAAATGATCTGATCTAATTAAAAAAATTCCCTTCAATGAAAGGTAATTAAAATTATATATAAAACAGTACTACAAGCAAAGACCACATTGTGCAGCAGTGGAAAGCGTTCGCAACACCCCCGGACCACCAGAGAGGAGAGAGGAGAGGTAAGGACCACACTGGTGTGAGTTTTTTGTGGGAGGAAACGACACATTTCCACTTTGCAACCATGTGAGCATCTGTGGGTGCAGCATGCTCGCCTTACAACACACACACCAAACTAAGACGAGTTGGTGGTCTTAAAGAGAGCTCGATGCTCGGCATGCGCGTCATACTTAGCTTGAGCTGCTGACAATGACAGGTCTCAGCCTCATCCTGCTTTTAGCTGTAGCTACGATGGTGCCTTTGGCCTCAGCTCAAGGTGAGAGCAATGTTACGGTTTCTGATCATTTGGTACATTTGCAATGTTGTAGGATAAATATGATTGTCATATCTAATTCCTGTGTTTTCATATCAAGGTGGCATCTCAAACTGCTGTCGGAAAATCTCTCAAACTAATCCTCGAAAAGAACAACTGACAGAATACTACATTCAGAGTCCAGCAGCCTGCAAACTACGTGTAGTGGTGTAAGTCAGAAAAAGTACCCAGCATTTTCTGTATGACTAGTTTTTTGTCTTTTGATATGTAGCATTTTAGAGTTTACTGTCATCATAATATACTGCAGYAGGTTTGTAACTCTGTGTTTTATCCTTTTATAAAGCTTCATCACAAAGAAAGGAAAGAGGATCTGTAGTGACCCTGATAAACAGATGACAAAAACCAGGATGGCCTACCTGGATAAAAGGAACTGGAAGCGAATGGATCCTTTAGCAGCACCTGGGACATGATGTCAACTCGAACACAAAGCAACCTCACAACCGAAACAAAACAGTTTCTTTTTCTCTGAAGCTGTTTGACCAACTTTGACCTTTTGGAATGTATTTCTGTAAAAAAAAGTATATATTGTGTTGGACTTTTCAAGTTTATTCTTTTGTACAGATGTAAATATTGTTATTTTTATTGTAAAGTGATACTGCCTGCTAATAAATATGGTCATAATCTAATGGCTGCAATTTGGTCACTCAGAGCTTCGAACCAAAATACTACAGGTGCATTTACTATAAACACAGTYTTACGCAGCTATGAGACACCACAGAGATTCACACTGATAAAACCTGTGAGAAGACGGAGATTCTTTTTTTAGGAAAGACTTGTCTGAGCTTACAGTGCGAAGGTGGAAGCACTGCTTCCTTTACTGAAGCTAAAATTAGTAACACACAACAGCAGAGGTATAGAATACAGTGATTTTATTGTGTAACAAAAAAAGCCTTTTTTAGATGGAAGTTATAGTCGAAGTAATGATGAGTGGACATTGATGTCCTCTGTTTTATGAATACTTGAAAGATTGAGACTACAACAAAATTGTATAGTTAGGATTTTATTGTTAATGAAGCATTGGATTTTTTTCTTTTCTGTTATTTTACTGATAAGAATTTAAAGAATCRTTGTGTTTTTCATATTAGTAAAGGCATAGCAACTGCAAATTTAAATAAAAGTTTATTAAATGAAATTGAGGTCATATTTGTTTCTATGGATCAGGGTGAAACCTATACTCTTAGCCTTATGCTACGCTAATGTTTTTGCCCAAGTGTGTGTGCATGTGTTTGTCTTTTACCAAAATATTTACTAATTCATTAATATTAACAACTAGATCAAATTTAATGAAACATGTAGAAAGTAATCATTTGTTGTACATCTACAAATGACACTTTTGGAGTCAAACTTTTGGCTTGGCATCTTAGCAAACACGAATATAACACAGGAACAACAACAGACACTGAGCTAAAATTTGGTGTGGTGTTAGCTGACGTCATCTCAAACATGTACTTTAAGCACAGCACATTTTGTGACATCTTTACTTAAAATCCTGGCATAAACTACTGGAGTCGACCCAGTTTGTCTGTTAGCAAAAATAGCTGCTAAACTTGATGAATTTTAACAAATCTCGTACATTAAAAACTCATTAATTTTTTGGAGTCAACTCAATTTAAGATGATTGCCACAGCTGACTGACATTAGCCGACACAAAAATAATTATACTTTTGTGGGTTTTACAGATACAGATCTAATATTTGGTGTGGTAGTAGCTGAGAGTTATTCATAATGCATGCTCAAAGTGCCAACAGATCATGTAAAATCAACACAAGATGCACGAGGTTGCACCTAATGTTATTTTCCTTTTTTTTTTTTTAAGGATGCACCTAATGTTATTTTCAAGGTCTGCTTTCACTTCATTTCTCATCAGATGATGATCTTTGTTTAAAACTCTGACAAAAAATTGGTATGCATTCCTTCAAGACCTTTAAATCTAAAGTACGAGTGCTAGTATTTTTCACACACATTGAGGGATTCAGAACATTAGCGATCTTGACCATATTTTTAGGTTTTAATGCAAAGTGCTTATATGCTTGACCATATTCTTTCCCCTTTAAATTTATACAACTGATCCTGTTCTATAAAAAGGAATAATGGAATAATGAGTTCATGTCTTAAAATAATTAATAGTGTTCACAAACAATTCATGTCAAAGAACTTTAGTGACTCATGGCTGCTCTTTCATGGTAAAACATTTAAACGCAAATTAATTATTACTTAAACTCACAAATGTCAGCCACAACCTAATCATTAAAAGGTCAGCTGTGGTCTTGTTCTCAGGATAAATGTCTGAGTCATTAAAAGTGCGGTGACATTTTTTGTCCACCAGAATGACCACCGTGTTCCACGCTAACCCCCACTTTTTGATTTGACGTGGTGGTCTTCCGCCTGATCAGGTGGAAGATGTAAGTCATCAAGTTTCCATAATTAGCACCTCATACATAATGCATCAGCATTTATGAAAAAGGATGTTAAAAACTTTACTACATGTGGGCTGTGAGAGAAAGTACCGTTGGGTTTCAGTGCTCTGCGGCTGGGGGAGGTTTGAGAGGCTGAGTGGAGACTGAGGTCGTTTGCTTTCAACCAGAAGTGTAATGGGTTTTTCCCACCCCTCTGTATAAATTTATGGCCCACCTTTGTTGGTATTTGTATGACTGAGCTGTTATGTAGTTGTATCAAAGGTGTTTTTTACAAGTGAAGTTTTTTGATTAAACATTGCTAAAAGCCTCATGCCAAACCGCTTATTCCAAACCGTCAGCTCATCTATTAATTTAATCTAAAATTCTGTAGAAATGTGTAAAACCCAACACATGAACATACAGTCTGTGAAGCTACTTCAGTTAAAATGGTAAAAGGAGATCAACTTGAAACCCACATAAACTGTTTGGGCTTTTACACTGGTTTTAGCCACATGTTGGCACATCTGAAAATTCTGTTTATGAGTCCAAACACAAAGAAATGAGGTTAATTTTGTGCAACATCAAATCCTGTGGTTTGTAGTGTATATGACCTATGTAATGTTCATATTTCATGTCCTACATTTGTACCCTTGATAAAGGGTGTTATATTTGCACCCTACTAGCTTATAAATGGTGTGTGTTAGGTGCTGTGGTGTAAATGTCAACTCGTTGCTCTTTTTTTCTTTTTAGGTGTCGTGTTTTGTTCCTAAGTGTGACAGTGCTGAAGTGTCACCCGCATCTTTTTCTTTCTTATCACCATTCTTCCACGAGCCTTTGGTGATGTCTGAACAGTTGTCTGTAAGCATCTAGCTGTGGTCTCACACACCACAGTCTGTGTCCTCTCTGTTTCTGTACCCTGTAACATTTCACTGCAGCCGATATTTGGAAATGCACAGTGAAACCAGATAACACTTGCACTGAGATAGTATTTGGCGTGTGCTTTTGCATTTAATAAATACTCTGAAACAGTAGTTAAAATCCGCTGCTTGTTTTATGTTGGGTAATGGGGCAGCAGCTGGAGTGGAACGATTCCAAGGCGTTCCCAGAGACAGTCTCTCTTGTTTCTTGGATCTTCCCTGGAAGACAGTTGAGGTGGATCAGGCATTTAGTAAGGATGCCCCAGTCCACCACAATCTGCTCCTGTTGATCTTTCCTGGACAACTTAACTAACTCTATGTCTAAGGGAAGGCCCAGCTGGAGAAAACTCATTTAGACCACATCATTATTCAGCCTCTACACAGAGTTTGTGACCGTAGGTGAGGGTAAGAACATGGACTGACAGGTAAATAGAAAGCTTTGCCTTGCAGTTCTGCTCTTCTTCTTGGCAATGGATCAGTATAGAGTCCGCAATACTGCAGAAGCTTTACAGATCCAATTGTCAGTCATACGTCCCATTTCTCTGTCACCCATGAACAAAACCCAGATGTACAGAAACTCCTCCACTTGAGGCAGCATCTCACCCCCAACCCAAAGAGGCCAGTCCATTTTCCAATTGTGGACCATTCCCTCAGATTTGGAGGTGCTGGTCCTCATCCCAGTTACTTCACACTAAGCTGTGAATTGCTCCAATGAGAGTTGACGATCATGCCATGACCAGGACCTGATCATTCAAAATAATAGAGACACAATCCAGAGTAGAGCAGGCTGGATCCCCTCCATCCTCTGGCTACAGAGAAATTCTTTACATGAAAGTTATTGACAGGATCTGTGAAAACAGGCAGCCTTGGCCAACTCTGAATCAGAGTAGTTAATTAAACAATCTGTATTTAAAATGACTTATTCTTGTAAATATGGAGCTGGTTCCCATTAACATTACAGCTACAGGGAGTTATGGGCAGTAAAAAGACAGCAACTGCTAAAATAAAATTTATTAGCATATTCAACGACATTAAACATTYATTTTTGTTCTGCATTTACAAAAACAAACTGTTATTAACCTGTTTGAATTTATATATTAATATTATATTACAGCAACAATTCTTAGCTTAGTTGGAATGGGAGTCAAAATCACATTGTGGGGGTACAAGACAGTTGTGGAGAAACAATGTAAAGGTAGACTGAACAAATACCTTCTCTCATTTTATAGTAATGTAGCTATTATAAAGGGAGTGTATGAGTGATAATGTTATTTTTAGAATTATCAACCTGTTTATTCTGAAAAGCCATGACTTGCAAGGCTGAGAAACATAAATTATAACATTTTGAATAAAAAAATACTTCTTTTCACACAGTGGAATGATTCTCCAGGTACTTTTCCTTTGTTAAAATAGCTCAGTTCTTTCTTTCTCCTGGGATCATTTCTGTGTGTTTCTCACACTGCTGGTGTTGTTTCCATTGTTGCTGTTTTTTCTTCTGGTGTTTCTTCTTCTGGTGTTTCTTCTTCCGGTGTTCTGACTCTGAACTTCGGGATTTGTGGTTGGTTTGGTTTTTCTGTCTTGTTTCAGCATGACTCGTTTAGCCCAGCTGTTGTTGGGGTCGGAGCAAATAATCTTTCCTTTCACCGTCTGGAACCTGCAAGCGATTGTGACCAGTTAATGGTTCTGTATTATAGATTAAACATTATTCATGAACTGTAATGTAGGATTACAATATTTTCCAATTTTGTAATATCTAACATAAAAAACTGTTAGTTAGTTTGTTTTTTTACCATAYCCTATTATAAAAAGGTACTTTTAGAAAGTAGAGAGTAATAGTTTTAGCCTAAAGAAAAAAAATGCACAAAGGCAATAAAACATAGAAGTTCATGTTAAAGTTGGTTTAATTGTGAAAATATAACACAACTTACACGACTGCTCTGATGGAACACACGCCCTCCTCCTGAATGGTATAACTTTTAATTTTTCTAAAAGGGACTTTATTTTTGGACAGCCCAACACAGCGACAGTCCTGCACAGGTGCCGTGACTAAAATGGTTGCACATAAAAACAAAGAAAGGTACATAGAAGGTAAGTGCCATGTTTGTACGCTGACACACCATCAGAACACAGAATACATTAGTTACTTTTTATAAGTTTGGTACTCACATGCCTGAATCAAGTTGATCCATGTGGTGCAACAGAACAAAGTTGCCACAGCCAGACTGAACTTCATCTT